TTCTTGAAGCCGAAAGCAACGACCCTCGGTATCCCTCCGGCTGACATGTTGATGTGATCTGATGTAAGTGGGCGTGGTGTGCGTAAGGTATGAGAGGGCATGACTGATGATCTCGTGATCCAGTCATGACAGCGCTATCTCAGCCTGCGCTCCAGCTGGATCAACTTTATTTTTTTTTACATAATTTATATATTTTATATTCAAACTGAAAACATGATGTGATTAACACTCAAGTCATTCAAGTCATCGTGTCTCAAGTCAAGTCAAGTCCCGAGTCTTTAACTCCCAAGTCCGAGTCAAGTCTCAAGTATTTTATTTTTTGTCAAGTCAAGTCACAAGTCATAAAAATAGCGACTCGAGTCGACTCGAGTCCAAGTGAAGTCACCAAGTCACAAGTCCCCATGTCTGCATCATAACATTACTTTTTGCAATGCATTATATGCATAATATGAACCCAAACACAAACAGTAACCAATAAACGCAATAAATGTTGATAATTCCCTTTTGATGCATGACCGCTAATGGTTTACGTCATTTCATTATTCTATTATGTTAATCTACTATTATAGATATTGTATAATATCAGTTGTTTTTTCCCCAAATCAAAATTTTACCTACACATAATTTGTTTATTTTTTAAATTTTGATACGTTCTTTTCTTTGCACATATGGTAGTTGAGAGTTTCAAGCAGTGTTTAATAAAATTGTTTCAATTCACTTAAATTTAGATTCTTTTTTTCCGACTGTGGTATCGATTTAATATTGAGACCGAGGTATTAGGTTCTGGTATCGTACCGAAGCCAAAATTGTGGTATCGAGCCATCCCTAGTACCAAATTGCCTTTTTTTTATATAATTTGATGTGTACATTTCCTGGTGGTTTGGTCACATGGGTACAGGTGGGTGTTGTTTAGCTGGTAGTGTTTCCTATTTTAACATTGTGTAGAGAGGGGGTGAGTAGCGAGAGGTGACCGTTTAAACGTTTTTCATTGGTACAGTAGGCTACGTTTCTCATCACCGATTGTTTTTGCCCGCGGATAGTTTGTACATCATGTCAATCATCGTTCATGAATTTTAAAAGCATGGAAACGCGTCACAAGTCTTTCCTGCTGCTTAGCCTCGCAGCGATCACACGTTGATTACGTTGTTGCTATATTTTATAGTGGTGGGAATCTTTTGGTTCCTCAGGATTCATTTCAAATAGATTCTTGAGCTCTCGATTCTCAAATCAAATTTTGATTTGATTTAGTGCATAGGTTTGACTAGTTTACAATATTGTGTTATTTTCCTTATTTGACTGCGGTAGACAATTTAATAGCTCGAGAAGGAAAAAGATTGTACTAAATTAAATTAAATTTAGCTTTTCTTCCCATTTTCAGTCAACCCAATATTATAAAACAAATGCTTTTAGGCTGACTACAATCATAACGCACAGTCTTCTGTAATAAAGGCACATTTTATTTTATTTTTTATATTAAAAATTGGAACAAAGAAGCAAATTACAAGCAATAGGACGAATACAAAAGAAAAAAAATTCAAATAAATATAAATTAATAAATAAAAATAAATCTGTGCGGTACACCAGCTGTGTCCGTCAGCAGCTCGTCGAGTCCTTGTTCACGGCTCATTGGTATTAACGCCAATAACTAGCCTTTAGTACTGCGACGGTAAAGAAGTGCAACACTTATGAAAAGCGATTTTTTTTATTTATTTTTTATTTTTTATTATTATTTTTTTTTAATATGTGGGGGTTTTTCCCGAAGCACTAGTATTTTATACAGATCCTGGTGTTGAATGAAGATGTCTTATCCTCTTATCCTGTCTGGCTTCAGGTCTTCCGGGCAATGAAACTCCAGCTGTGCAAGCCCAGCACGTTTCGAAGCCTTGCGCGGCGGTTCATCGAGCCTGCCGTCGTGCACAGGTGGAGGACGACGCAGGACGCCGCGCTGGAGCGGCTCACTAGCCGACGACACGACGCCATGCTAGCTGGAGGCATGAGGACAGACTCGCCAGGTGTGCAGCTCTCAGTGTATGCTTCATTGGATAATAATGGGAAAACTGAATTTTTACACTTGTAAAATGAACATTTATTATATTTGCAAAGGTAATTCTGCTAGATATGGCAGCTACACAATGATGGACCTGCGGAACAACAAGGTGGTCGATCTTCAGCTGGTTCAGGTGAGTCGAGGGTTAAAACTGAAGGAGGCGCCGAGATGGGTCAAACTGCCATGAAATAAATGGAGTGAATGTAACTGAAGAGACTGTGTTTTGCTAACGTATATCAGAGCAGTGCAGTCGCTGGCCGTGGCCATATGGAGATGGAGGGTCTGAAGAGAAGTCTCGCTCTTTTGGAGGGACGTGGCGTTACTGTGAATACTATTGTGACCGAGCGTCATCCGCGAATTCAGGAATACCTGAAGGAGACCAGGATCAAGCACTACTACGATGTTTGCCGTATCGAAAAGGGTATGCGGTCCTGTTGTTTTTATATAAGAACATAACCAGTACAAGAGGGCATGCATGGGCGTCGATTTCTTTGGGGACCCACCAGATTTAGTAATCACTCATTTTTCACCCACCACATTTTTTGGTGAAAACCTCAATTTAGCCGTTTTGCTGTTCACGCTTCTCTGTTCATAACGCTGCAACAACTGCAACCGTTTGGTGATCGTTGTTTAGGTAGATTAAACTACGCCATGTCATATAGTCAACATGATACTCATGAAGCAGAAATGTCGGTCATATGTCTAATGCTTTTTGAAAACTTAAAGGGATACTTCAGGATTTAGCATTAACCCTTGTGCATCCTTATGGACATTTTTGTCCTTTTCAGTTTTGTTTTTTTGATCACTTTGCCTGTGTTAAAGCTAACTGCAAAAAATTTGGCACAGGTGTGTATTTTTATTGGAATTTTACTATTTCACCGTCATTTTCTTAAAATATTTTTTGCATTAAGTACAAAAAATACTCCCTCTCAGCACCTTTTGGACAAAACTGTCCCCATTAAAACTGCCATTTTTAAACCCTGGTTCAGATAACTATAAAATAATGCAATCTTTGTTAAGAGGCTTTCATTCTGTTGGCAAGGCTTCAAATTTTTATTTTTTACTATTTTTTTTTATCAGACGGTGCCTTTTTTTTTTAAAGTTTGGCCTATAAAACAAATATCGCTTTATTCCTGTTTTCTGCTTCGGCATACTAAAGAGCCAACTGGATAAATTATGCAACGATATTTGTGTGGGTGTGTTGGTATGGATGTCAGAATGTGGTTAGTATGTGTGTTATAAAAAAAATGTGTGTGTGTTAGGGATGCGCGATATATCGGCCAGCATATCGGTATCGGCCGATATATGTTAATTTTTAATGTTATCGTTATCGGCCTGGTAAGAAAATATGGCCGATATATTAAAGGCGATAAATAATGTATTATTCCCTTGAGCTGAGACACTTGTAGAGCACGGTTTGTTTTTGAATTTCTTGAAATAGGATTGAAATCTCTTCAAAAAATTAAAATACGGTTCGGTACAACATGTGCAGCGCAAACCTGTCATATCGGCTATACAACACTATAATGAGACCATAATTATAATTGTGCGCTTGGGACATGGATTTAATTGTGAGACTTTTGTTTTTGTAATCAGGCTCTAAAATTAGATGCATATTTGGATTTAAGTTTATCGGCCGATATATCGGTTATCGGCTTTCAAATATAAAGAATTATCGGTTATCGGTATCGGCTAAAATTTTCATATCGGTGCATCCCTAGTGTGTGCGCATATGTGTGTTCGTAATATTGAGAGAGAAAAACTGCAAATAACAAATCCAATCACTGTGAGCTCCAGTGGGGTTTTGCTGGCACCCAATGGGGAAAATATGTTACTACACCCAAACAAACTGTTACCCAAAGCTAATTTTTTGAGATATCATCCTCAAATTTGGAACACAACCTATTTAGATTCATGGCTTTGATTTTATTGCAGTTTTGAGTTCAACCTGATTTATAAAATATATATTTTATATAAATTAATTTTTATAAATAATTTTCATAAACTTATACCTATATAATTTTTGGGGGGATTTACTTATTATTTTTTTTACTTCAGCAATAATCTGCAAAGGGTCTTCTTACCAAACTTAAGTCTATGCTCCGAAGCGTCACATTTTTATGACCTGATATTTTTGTCCTCCATTTACCTGTGTGTAACTTTTTCAATTGATGCACAAGGGTTAAGCTTTATTTTAGTAGGAAACCTGTAGTATTTTTTAATTACCCTGCTTTCCTCCATCATATCCCCCTGAGACGAGAGATTTATGTATTTTTTTCTCTGTAAAATCGTAATTTTGCATCATCGGAGGATGTTTTGTCCAGAGGCTAAAGACTACACTCTGTAGTCGGGTCTGTCCCGCATGTCCTCAAGAGGGCGATCTCACTCACACAATGAACACATAGTGTCGGCCATCTTTTTTTGGATGCTAAAAAACAGCTGTCGACTGTAGTATTACACTAGTAGCCTAGACTTGTTTAACGACTGCATTCTGGGAGTTGTTGTCTTTCATCCACATAAACCAAAAATACATTTTCTGGCTTTTCTCCGTCTAGAAAGCTCAAAATAAAAAAAATGTCACATTTCTTCTACATAAATGACCCATTTTAAATACACATTCATCTTTCCAGAGGTGAAGTATCCCTTTAAGGCTTTCTTCCTCATAAAACGAGTTTTCTATACATTATTTATTTACATTACTAAGCCACAAGACATAATCTTTATTAACATGACCTGTACGAAGGAGAAAAAAAAAATGCGTCATTGTGGCCATCACTTCTAAAAATGCTCTTCCGAATGCGTCTCTGTCCCCAGCACATTTCACACACACACACTGACGCCCACGGTCCCTGTCCCCATTGTATCGTGAATTATCACAGACATGTGTTGTCCATTATTATAAAAACAGAAACATCTAATGAGTGGTACATTTTTTTTTTTTTTTTTTTTTTTTTCAATATTATAGAGACTTTGATAATTATTGTATTTCACATACACTGTATATTTGCAAAGCTGATATACACTTTTTGTATTTTTAGGACTGTCCAAAAAGTTGGCCCTGATAGCAAAGAACAAGGACTGTGACGTACTGAAGAAGTGGCTTCATAGTCTGAAAAACCACATGTACTGGACCGCAGCTTCATCAACATCAGGGCCAGAGAGGCGGGCAAAGTGGACGTCCATCCTCAATCACATCCGAGATGTCCACGTCCACGAAGACCCGGCTTTCCCCCAGTGTGCGCACGCACCACGGACGTCACGGGACAAACGCAAATGGCTGAAAGCAGGTGTGTTTGCCCAATCACTACATGTGACTAGAGCTCGACCGATAAAGGATTTTGAAGGCCGATACCGAAATAAATATTTGTTGGTTTTAAAATCCGATATTCCGATATATCGGCTGATATAATTTTATTTTTTTCAGAAACGCGCAACAAAACATTAACAGATTTCCCTAACATTAGTTATTTGTACTTATCTATGAGTTTTAACTAAAATAATATGATAATGCATTTTATAAAGAAACTTGTTTCTTTTATTGTCACAACAGAACAGACTGACGATAGTGGCGTTAGCTCGCTTTATGGTTAGCTAGTCTACGATGAGCCATAATTTAGCAATGGATAACGTCATACTGCAAATTGTAAAACATACATTTTCAATATAACAGGCCGAGGAGAGATGATGCGTCTCATTGCTATAACGGTCACGCGCTATTAAAGAAATACTTCAGTCACATCGTCAAAAGTTAAAAGGACAGTCAGTCAACGACACTGTAACAACGTAACGTAATTATTACTAGCTAATCCCGCTTCACTCTCGGCTTATTAAACAGCAGCAAAACTGGACATGATAGTCACAGATCTTGTCCTGCTTATTTGAGTTGGATGATCTTTTAATTGTTATTCAAGCAATGTATGTCTCGTGACCAACTCAACGAGTGTAGAGCGCCCTCTGGTGGACAAACTATACAACTCCAACACTCATGACATGGTTCAAGCGTGTTTCGTCCGTTTATATTTTATTGTTGAAATATTCATTTATCGGCCATTATAACTGCCGATACGATAGTTTGGAAAATGCCTAATATCGGCCGATAATATCGGTCTGGCTCTACATGAGAGTGAACCCTCTTCACACAGACGAAACTCCTGTCTGGTTGTGCATGTAGATGTCCAGTGGGAAAGTTTATAACACCACCACCTACTCATATGTACAGTGATTCAGTGTTCGACACATTTAATATGTGGTGCTACTCATGTTTTCATAGGAACAAAGGCCTTCAGCAAAGTAGAGAAGGCCTTGACCAATAAGAGGACGTTAAACGCTGTGGAGAAGATGAGCCCTCACCAGCAGACCTCGGCGCTGCAGGCGTTTCACAGCAGCGTTTCACACTTTGCTCCTAAAAACGCAGTATTTCCTTTTCTTGGGATGTTGTGCAGGTACATACACCATCATTGTTGCCGTACTGAAATGAATTCAATTCATGCATTGTATTCAAGAGTTACATTTTTCTTCCTAAGACTCTACCTGGCTGCCATGCACTTTAATGAAAATGCTGGGCGTCCCCAAGCGACGTCATCCACCGGTGAGCTGCTATACAGATTGAACTTGCCCAAGTCCAAGAAGGGGGAGTTTTCCATCAAGCCAGTGAAAGTGGAGCCAACGTACGGTGAGTTTTGCAAGAACACTTGTACGACACGTGAACAATATAATATAAATGCTCTGTATTTAAAGGGATACTCCACTTTTTTTTTGGAAATAGGCCCCAGAGTTAACCAGTTGGGTTTTACCATTTTTAGATCCATTCAGACGATTTTTGGATATTTAGAAGAATATCAGTAAACAGAGACAGTTTCTGGTCTCATTGACTTCTATAGTATATTTTTTTCCTACTATGGATGTCAATGAGACCAGAAACTGTCTGGTTACTGATATTCTTCTAAATATACGAAAATCGGCTGAATGGATCTGAAAACGGTTTAACTCTGGGGGAGTGGTAGCCTGACTTCGTCATACTCGTATTCAAGAAAAAATATGAGTCTGAAACCGCTCTATTGGGCTTTGATTATGAGGCGTGTCGTAACCGAACCAGGGAAAACAAAAAAACCTCTGCACTCTACACACAATTGGATAGTCGGTAGACCTACCAACCAATCAGAGCAACGCATAAGTCAGCTCCTTTGCATAGCGCAGTTTTCAAATACAGAACGTAGCCTAACTTTATTTATTTTAGAAGTTAAATAACGAGTGTTGCTTCTTTTACTTACTTCTCCATGAGTGCCACCAAAGGAGAAACCACAACGACCGTCAGAGCCAGCTGATAAGTTACACTTTTCCCGAATCATGTAGGAAGGACGGCAAAAATATCTTTCCGATCGACAAATGCCTTGATTGCAGTTTTCTGTTTGTCTATTAAAATTAATGCGCTGTCGATTTATTTATTTTTTTTAACAAAAGACGCGACAGCAGAATCTATACATCTCAATTCTCCAGCTGCAGTCATCTCTGAAAAGCGCACTTTGATGACGTGAGGATTACGTTATTGAAGACCACCTGTCAATCATCGTATAAAGCCCGCCCTGGCAATTTGATTGGCCCGATGATTTCTGAACCGATTATAATTACTCCTCAATGGATCGAGTCCAAACCGAACTTCCCGTCCAAAAAATGTTGTGGGCGGTGTTCGGGCTGGCATCCAGGCTAGGGGAGTGGTAAAATGGGCCTATTTCCCAAAAAAGTGGAGTATCCCTTTAAATGTGCAAAAGGCCTACTAGGGCATTAACCAATTGCACAAAGTATGACGTCACGTTTGTTTTTGTTTTTTTCTCAGATTATGTGGATGGACTGATGGACCTGATCTTTGAGAAGGTGTTCGAGGACCCCGGTCCATATGAGGCCGAGCTGCAGAAGATCCCCATCCCTGACGATCTCTCTGCCCAGTTCGAAAAGCCAGACAAGAAGGAAGTGATCGCCTCATATGTGTCGAGGTTCAATCAAGGGCTGGTCTGAATCCTGAGGCCCGGCGAGCCCCAAACCCAGCTTCTGTAGCGGCTGAAGGAAGAATCAGGACTTCTGGTCTGTTCAACTCTCACGTTGTTTCGAAAACGTGTGATCCATTTGTTATGACAAATAAAGTTTGTTTTTTTTTTCTTAAAATGCTTTTGTGTACTTTCAGTGTTTCATATTCATGTTAAGAAAATTAGTCTGCTTTCCCCCAGGCTAGCTCAGGGCTAAGACTCTGCTACCGTGGCAACCAGCAGTGACCACCAGTCACATTACAAACAGCCGAAAGAAAAGGGAAATGGCCCTCACCATATATATCCATCTCCATTTCAGTGTTTTTAAGTTTCTCTTGCGGTCCTCCTCTGGTTTTTTGATATGTTTGGCATCACCATATCTTTCTGTACATCATAAACGCTACGCTCAACGGTCGGATTAACGCTGTTAACTGTCAGAGCAACATTTCTTCCTACATTCTCCGCTAAATTTCCCCAGTAAAATGTCCTTGTAACTGTTACACTCCTCCAACACACACACACACATCTCCCGCTGGGGTAAACTGCACCGAGAATCTTTTGAATCACATGAATCTTTTTTTTTTTGTTTTTTGAAAAGTGTCTTATTTTACCCAGAATGCATTGCAGCATAGTCCTACTTAAGATAGTCAGAGTCTTCAGTGCTTTGTGCAACGGTCTCGTCTGATATCTGAAGTCTGACGATCTACTATACCTAAGCCTTAAGCCCTATTCGCACGGGATTAGTATTATCTGGTGACCTGTAGTAATTTGTAATAATTGCGGAGTTTGTCTGTGATCTTAATCCCGTGCGAATCGGCCATGTCTGTAATTTGTAAAGTAAAAATTCCCCCGCAAATTATCTACTATATTTCGCCGAACACCGAGGTCCTGTGATGATAATATTCGTCCCGTGCGAATCGACATCTCTGTGATTTGGCCGGATCGTAACTTATGTCATTTTTTTAAAGGTTTTTGTTTCATCTGTGCATTTTTATCCATCTTTCATGAAGAAAAGAGGCTGAGTTGGAGTGTTTTTTATAGTTATTTTAGGTGCTGGGTCATATCGCTATATGCAGCTACACGATTTTCAGAAATTAAAAAAAGATGAAAATCAGAAGAGCAAAAAACAAAAAGAACGATTAGATGGAGATGAATGACATGTTTAGCAGCATACGGTAAGGACAATTCTTCTGTTTATTTTATACAGCTAGACATAATAACGACAAGACACTTCAAAGCTACAGCCTAATGACATCATATCCGGGAGATAAGTCAGTAAATTCGAGTAAAATCACAGGCTTTGCTTATCCCGTGCGAAATTCAGATGTGGGTGTGTAATTTCAAATTCGCACGTGGTGGTCCCCAGGTAACACTAATCCTGTGTGAATAGGGCTATAGTCGATGTGAAACTGGCCCTGTACAACTTTTGCTAATGTTGTTGGTAACCCAGGGTGCGAGTTGCCTTCAGAAAGAAACCTTATGTAAAACACACATTGTTAGTGTGTGAGAAACACTAGTTTAGTTGTGTGGGTGAAGTGGGATCAGGCTTTCTCTGGTCACTACAGTAGAGGCGTTTAACGTGGCCTTCAGAAACACAGGCTAAGAGAAGAGGCTCGGGAAACAAGCGGCAGCGGGGTCAGGATAAACTTTACACAATATATACGGTCAAAGAGTCTCTCAGGATGAAAAACGTCGGCTAAATAATTGAGAGCAAATGTAAATGTCATTCTAGCCTGCAAACATGTATCATTACTCATGCATTTAAGCACATAAGAGTTTATTTTATTATTCATACCATAACACCACATAAGAGTGTTTGACTGAAATTATATACTATGTATAATCTTTAAAAGAGAGATTCTAAAAAGTGTGTCTTCATTTCATTCTAAATTGACAGCAATATATTATTTAAAGGGTTAGTTCACCCAAAAAAATGTGAACTCATGTTGTTCAACCCCGTAAGACTTTAGTTCATCTTCAGAACACAAATTAAGATATTTCTGATTAAATCTAAAAGAGCTTGATCACTCCTCCATAGGCTTCTACTGTAAATGTAAACAGTCCAAGTGACTACAGTGGCTCAATCTTAAAGAGCTGGTAAGTCCCGCCCATCCGTAAAACTCCAAGTGGACCTCTAGGTTGAAAAAGCGTCAATGCAAGTGAATGAGAGAAAATAATTATTTTCTGATCCCGTTTTAATTGTGCCATGAATGTGACATATGTTGTCTGTGAATTTTTTATATAATTTCTCATGTAACGAGTTTGACAGTATATTGTATGATTCTTTGGCTAGCAGTTGTGGAATAAAAATAACGAGAAAGACTACACGTCTTATGTGACGTCGCCGCATTACACATTTTCCCTCCACAAATCACGGTTTTCACCACGCTCAACTAGTTTGTCCTCTGCCTGAAAGAAGGTGGTGAAGTGCACCAAAGACACAGGCATGTTTAGCGGGATCCGTGTGCTAGTGGGGGTGACGTTTATCAAACACGTCGAAAGAGTTGTAGTCCACAAAGTGCTCTCACACGAAGTCTACCCGTATAAAAATTCTACCTGCTAAATTGTGGCATTCTTTACACGAAAAATTATATACAAAATTCAGAGACAACATATGTTCACATTCATTGCAAAATTCAAACGGGATTAGAAAATAATTATTTTCTCTCATTCATTTGCATTGACGATTTTTCAACCTAGAGGTCCAGCGGGGCTAGCTGAAGGGGCGGGACTTACCAGCTCTATAAAGGGTAACCAGAGCCTCTGGTCAGAGCCTGACTCCACCCATTGGCAATATTGGAAAAATGCTGAAAAAGTGGACAGACCCCCTAGCGGAGATAGAGGGGACGAAATAGATGCTAAAACACTCTATCCTGATCGTTTTCAATACTCACAATTACAACTCCTGTCTCGCTACAGTGGTTTTGACGACACAAGATGGTTTTTATACTGCTCGCGTGGTGAGCTGAAACCTGCGTACGTCACGAAGTGCGGAACATTCAAAAGGAAAATCCAACTGCAGTAGCCACCGTTCAACCTGAAGAGGGCAGCACTAAGACGTTTCTACACCATATATTGTAGAAATAAAACACTTTATAGACAAATGTCACAAAAGTTACTCGAATCAATGACTGGTATTAATAAATATCCATTCTTACAGATCATTAACTAAAAAAAAGTTGGTTTAGTGTTTAGTTACTCTTTAAGTTTAACTTTATCAAGCGACCAGAATACTTTTTGTGCGCAACCCCAAAATAACGACTTTATTACATCTATTCATTTACTTCTCTCTCTGCCTCGAGTCAGGTTACTAGTTTAAAAGCGTATGATCTGTTGTTGTACGTCACACTCATCACACATGACCAGCGTCAGCCAATAGTGAGCCTACGTGTGACCTAGCTCTACTATCACACTACGTTAACTGACTTCATGCCCATATAAGGAAATGAATACGTAATTGAAATAAAGTCGTTATTTATGTTTGTTTTTGCTCACAAAAAGTGTTCTCGTCATTCGATAAAGTTAAGATTGAGCCACTGTAGTCACTTGGACTATTTTAACGATGTCTTTAATGACTTTTCGAGGCCGTCAAGTTTCAATCCCTCAAGAAGCCTATGGACTAGTATGGAGGAGTGATCCAGCTCTCAGATTTCATCAAAAATATCTTAATTCCTGTTCCGAAGATGAACGAAGGTCTTACGGGGTTGAACAACATGAGGGTGAGTAAATACTGAGTTTTCATTTTTGGGTGAAGTAACCCTTTAATGTCTGCAAACTTTAGAACGAATTGTCTGATGAAATGGACTGTGCTGATTAACGTTACCATCCCTCGGGTGAGAATCGATCTCTTTCAGTCTCGAGCGCATCATCATGATCACATCACTTCCTCAGTCAATCAGTGGATATCTAAACAAGTGTCTCCTGAAGACAAAGATTGATGACGTGGACTTTATTGATGTGTGTTTACACGCGTGCTTCGGACACCGGTCACGCTGACCCCGTGGAGTCGATCCAAATGCACTGTTGATTTCCACTGTGAAAGGGAACTTGTAACGCCTCAAGATCTCTCATTCAGTCAATTCGATCCAAGTTATTTATTAACTGCAAATATACAAATCTGTCACATTTATTTAAAGATGTTTAGTGAGTAAAGAGTTTATTATGAGGAGCACATAGTAATTACCTTGAGGCAATGAATTTACTCAAATTATTTGAGCATGTTAAACTAGTTGCAGTGCAGTCCTGAAAATCACCATCTTCACCCAGACGACCGTATGAAACGCACAAAAACAAATAGAAAACTGACAAAAAAAAAAGGGTCAAATCATAAAGTTGGGCACACAAATAAGAATTCACATAAGAAAGCTCATTAAATCTCTTCCTCTGACATTCATCTGGGGAACGGAATAATCTACTGCCAGCTCTGCTCTCTGTTCATCTCGTCTGCGAGCAGTGTGTGTGTGTGTGTGTGTTCCTCAGGCTACGGGACGCTGAACACAGCCAGAGCTGATGAGATCTGGAGGCTTAGATGTTGGCAAAGAGGATCTCCAAACGCCAGTAAAATCAGTTTGAGAAAAGGTAAAATGCTGAATTCTGTTTTTCTCATCACAACATGCACATCACACTCAAACCGTGAAGAGAAACTGCCATGAAGGATGCAAAATTCATGCAGAGAAAATAATCTGACATTGCAAAGATGAAGAAGGGAATGCAGTTGTCAGAAAAGCAATATGTGAGTGTAGAATCCACGAGAGGAGAAAACACACATCACATCTGTCCTCTTCCCAGTATCTACAGCTACAGCATGATTTAACTGGGATGATGCATTTATGAATGAGCTGATTTGGTTTGTCCTGATATTTCAGATTGGCCTTTTGTTTGGCTCAAATGCTAATAATTATAATAAAGAACTGAATGTGGAAAAATCGACGTCATTCAGCTCTTACTGCTGGCAATTGCATTAGCATGCATGCCTTTATTGGTTGGTTTTTGAAGGCTGAGGCATTTTTCCAAATAAGCCTTGAATTTCCATTTATAGGGGGGCAGTGGCTGCTAATTAAAGTCAAATCTCGTTTTTTTCCTCTTGTTTGGAAGCTAAGCCAGTGCCTCCAGCTAAATAAAGGCCTAACCACCTCTAAT